ATGTAATCTTATCTATGTGTATTGCTCATCTTGTCTTTGCATTTGTCAGTCAAATTAGTTGTTGTTGTTGTTGTTATTTATTATTATTTTTTTTTCTCAAGGGAATGCTTCTCTTAACTAATAGTCAAGTCAAGAATTTTAATAATCAATGGGCCAGTAGTCTAGGGGCACCAGACCCTTACCTTTTTAAAAAAGTATAGAGTTCGAACTTCGGTGGAGGCATGTGTGTGTGACTACCAACTAGGAAAAAAAAAAAAAAAAAAAAAAAAAAAAGTTTATATTATTATTGGCCATATTCAATCACTATATTTAATTAAGAGATAGAAATCTCTAGGATTGTTTTTTTAACACACGCACTATTCAAGTTAGAAATGCGATTCGAAAACGAGACTTCAATGACTTACCTCCCAGATTCCTACCAATGCCGCTATGCCCATGAGGGCCTAGAATCTCTAGAATTAGCGGCTAAATTATTAAATGCGAGAATCATTATTCATAAATATAAGTTACTTGTGACCAATATTTCTTACACAAATTAAGATATATATATATATATATATATATATCAATGTTTGGTACACAAATTCAGAATTAATTAAGATAGGACTTTACCCGAACCAAGAAGCAAAAGGGTTAATGGGATTGCTATAAAGAGTTGGATGATTGGAGAAGAATTGCTTTTGGCCATCTGTGCGCTCTTATTATCTGAAACTTTGTTTGTTTGTATCAAACCTGGATTTGACAAACCTAATTTATAGATGAAGTGTGCTAGTTTATATCAATTCGAATGGCCAAATTTAATTCTTTGTGGGTCTTACGAATCTTGTGATAGTGTGGAAACAAATTGATTATTATGTATCATTTTCTTTAATAAATGGGATTATTCTACCTATTTTTTTAGCACATGATGCTGTTATATAAAGCTAATTGATGCTTATTTTTACTTTTTTCGTAACGCCCAGTCAAATTGCTACGTTTAGCTAGCATTTTTAAATGCATCTATTGTACGTTAATATGAATAAGTTCTATTAAAGTAATTAATTATTTCTGATTTTCTAGATAGGAGTGTTAACATGAATAAGTTCAATTAAAGTAATTAATTATTGCTTATTTATAGAGAGGAGTATGTTTTTCCATATAATTAAAGATGTAACAGAAAACTCATTTACTACAGTCCTTACACAATTAGTTCTTAAGCATATATAATAAAGGGCGAATTGCAAAAATAAAAAAATAATAAATAGATTGATTGATGTTCTTTTTTCGAAGAAGATTAATTGATGTTCTTTTTTGGTTTTTCTCATCTCTGAAGAAGATTGATTGACGTTCACTCACAGTTTAGAGACACCTGTTGTTCATCAACAACCCGCAATGGCAGGACCAACGCTGAGCATCATGACCAAGAATTGAGTTGGGTTTTATTTAATAATTTTTTCAATTGAGTTGGGTTTTATTTAATAATTTTTTCAATTTTTTCATTGGAAGATGGGAGTCAAAAGATTTGTTTCTATTTGACGGGTGGAAGAAAACACACTTTGGGAACTATGCTTTATTTCTGTTAATATTTGTCATGGCAAATGGATTTTAGCCTTAACGAATTAATAAAATTATGTAAAAGTGTAAATGTAAAATCTTTAAAATAAAAATAAATAAATAAATAAGATATTTATGTTTTTAAGAACGGAATATGATTGTGTTATTTTATTATTTTGAATTTTAAAAGAGTTTTATTTGACTTAAAATTCTAAGGATAATATCTATCTTATAGAGTAAACTTGCCTTAATGCTTCATTTAGTTGGAGGAATGGAAAAATAGATGGAAGAGATAGGGGAATGGATGGATGAGGAATCCCTAGGGAACGGAAGGTGTCTCCTTCATTTTTTATTTGGTTGAATGGAATGGATAGTAGAAAGGATGGATGAGGTGATACTTTTTTTTATTTAGTTAGAAGGAAGGAAAATAAATTTTTTATATTTTTTTACCAATATATCCTCACTGTATAAAATAATAAAAAGTAGATATCCATTTGAATTTTTTTGAAAAGGTTAAAATTGGAAATTACATATTGTAGTTAGTTATTCATTTCCTCTCTCCTCCCTTCCCCCCAAAATTGGGCAGATAGAAAAACATGAAAAAAGGAAGGATGAAGTATCCCTCCTTGCATCCTCCCTCTCTTCCCTTCCCTCCAACCAAACACGAAAGGCCTCATCCATCTCTCCTCCCATCCATCCCTCCTCAATCCTTCCCTCCAACCAAACATAGCATAAACTATTATCACGTTAATACTTAGGTACCGATTACTAAAGCATAGTCAACCTTCTGCCGTGACTGGAAGGAGAAGTGATTAAAGGTCAGATACGTGAAGAAGGAGTAACGTTATTTTTTAAGGCAAGTTAATCTTGCCTTATAATTTTATATATACGACTGACTTGCGTATTAAAGTTTTAATATTAAATTTTGAATTCTGTGTTCCATAGTATACAAATCATCTTGTTAATATTAAGTACTTGTTGAAAATAGTTGTACATTATTCGTTTTTATATATTGGTCTTATATTTACGTACACACTTATAATTGGTAATTGAGCAATTCAAACTATCCGTGTTAAATGGTTACATTTGTGTATAGATTGTATGCTTTCCTGATGTAAGTCTTTATTCTGTATTTTGTGTGAATGGTCAATAATGAGTAGATCAATATATATATATATATATATATATATATATATATATATATATATATATCTTCATACATATATATACTACACTGTTATACTATTTTTAGAAACTTAACTGGCACATAAATTTAGTTACATATATATTGATGTATGAATTCTTAATGTAGACTCGTTCATTACTTAGGCTATTGAGTTGGCTTAGAGTTTTAGCAGGTGGAATTATGAATTTTTGATGTTGAGTATCAATGAAGTATAGATTAAATGTGTAATGGATTTATATATAAATGCAATAAATTTTATATTTACTTACATATTATGTACTGATATTACTTATTAAGTCTATTTGTAATCATAGAAATTATAGTGTTGGGTCTCTGGGCATTCTGTATATGCGCGTATATCTGTAAAAAAATATATAGTTGATTATTAGTATTGAATTTTAAGGCATTTAAAGTATATGTTCTAGGTGTAATCATTGGTTTCATGGTTATTAATTAAATAATATATATTTAAGAAAAGATAAAGTAACATGATCAATGCTGGGCTGGGTTTTGATTACATGTAAATATAGAATTTTATTTATTTATTTATTTTATTTTCCATAGCATTGAAATTACATTATTGTTCATTGGAAAACGTGAGTAAGGTGATATGGGTTAGTGACCATTAAACCACATGAATAATATTTTGTATATATATATATATAAATGCCATTTGACTAGTATTAGTAGGTTCTGTTATAGGACATATGGACTATGGTTGACGATAATTTAAGTTAGTCGACCACGTGATAGTTAAGTGAAAAATTTCATAAAACTTTAATTGTAATTAATTCTCATAATTGGTTAATTAAAGGTGTATTTGATGCATTAATTATTATTAATTAATAATGTCTTTCATAATTCACCATAATTAATAATTAATGGATGAGTTTGGTTAGTTAGAGGGGTAGTCAGGGACTGACCCTATGATGACTTTTGGGTATGGTTAGGGACCTGCCTATTTGGGAGTGTACTACCCTTTTACTATGACCATGGGTCTAATGAGCCCTTATTCTATGGATGTAATCGGGAATCATCTAAGGAGTAGACGTACAATCCAGCCATACGTGTGTTTTTGATAGTCAGGGACTATACGATTCACACCACTTTATTGGACGGGAGCCCAAGGCTCATATGAGTTATGTGGATTTAATAAAAGTAAATGATGGTTGTTGAGTTTATAATTAATTGAAGATTACGCAATGTTTTTTAGTATTACACTTAATTGAGTTGCTTTTATATATGGGAATATAAGGTATGGTTAGCTTACTGAACGATGATTGTGTTTAGCATTTCTTGCTAAGCTTGTGAGCTCACCCTATTATCACATTTCAGGTGCTTTTAGAGTAGGAACGTGATGGAGACATGTGATGGGGATGGATTTTAGCTTGTTGCACATTTACTTATTTTTAGTCGGTTTTCCTTTATTATGATCATTTTAATAAAGTTGATGTTTTGTGAAACTTTGTTTAGTTGATTTAGTGGTTATGGATTATTTTTATTATGTTAGAGGAAATTTCACCTCTATTCATTATTTGTATAAATTTGTCAGACTCTCATGTTTAATAAATTGAATGATGAGATTCGTCGTAGCTCTATTTATGATGGATGTATGCTGAGAATTGCTAGAAGTTATACTTTAGATTTTTTATGCAAAACAAGTTGTTCTCATGTTAAAATTTGGCGTGTGACAATTTGGTATCAGAACCTAAGTTAAGAATTACCTGGCTAAGAGAACTGATAGTAAGAATAGGAGTATATACTTATACGAATTATTTGCTCTTTTACCATGCTTCAGTTTTAAGTATAAATTACTTGTGAGACTTATTATTGACATTTTTTTACTAAAAATAGGATGTCAGGAGCTTGAAGAGGCAGAGGACGACCTGCTAGAGGCAGAGGTTAGGGAGGTGCCGATCGTGGTGGTGTTGACCATGACAATATTCAATTAAAGGATGCACCTTATGCGCCGAATCCTATGATTGGATTTATCAGAGATATACGTAAATTGGGAGCTGTTGAATTTGTCAGATATATCGATCCACTTGATGCCGAGAAGTGGATTGAAGATATGGAAAAGTCTTTTGAGATGATGGACTGCACTGAGGTGCAGAAAAGGAAGATTGGTGCTTTTCTTTTATCTGGTGAGGCACGTCAATGGTGGCAGTCAGAGACCAGGATGGTTGTGGACATTACAGCTATGACCTGGGATGATTTTAAAACTCGGTTCAACAACAAATACTTTCCACTATCAGTGAAGTAGAAGAAGGCAACTGAGTTCATGCAGCTGGAACAGAATAGTGATATGTCAGTTAGTGAATATGAGAGGAAGTTTACAGAGCTATCCCGATTCGCTCCTCACATTGTTGCAAATGAGGTACACAAGGTTAAAAAGTTTGAGCGAGGGTTGATCTCTCACGTGAAGAAGTTTGTGGTGGGTTATCGTTATGACACATATGCTAAAGTGGTGGAATATGCCACGACAATAGAGGAAAATAATAACATTGCCTTTCAGAAATAGAAAGAGCGTAAGGCAGAATAGAAAAGTAAAAGGGCTAGCAGCTCTCAATAAAATCAGAGGGGTCTGCAACAACAGACTCAGAGAAACTGGCAGGGTCAATCTTGGCAGAGAGGCAGACAAGATTGGCGAGCAGGGAAACGTCAGAGAGTTAGTGAAGATGATCAATCCACAACTTTAGTACCAGCCACGCCTCATGATACACAGCCACATCAATTCATCGGGTATTGCTACAATTATCGTGAGAAAGGACATATGGCTCGTAATTGTCTCAAGCCTCGTAAGAATGAACAGCATCAGAGAGGTCAAGCACCACAGCAGCACGGAGGTGTAAGGTTTTATGCAGTTGTTCCAGATGGGAGATACGACCGTGCACCACCAGCAGTAAAAGGTACACTTACTATTTATGGTAGTATAGCTAGAGTACTGTTTGATTCAGGTTCTTCATGTTCTTTTATTGCACTATCATTTGTGGACACACTGGGATTAGAACTTGGACATATGAGTAATACCCTATTTATTACAACTCCATTTGGGAGCGTAACTATACTTGATAGAATATGTCGTGCTTGTTCTGTTACAAATGGGGAGTTGGAGTATCCTATTGATTTGATAGTATTACGTATAAGAGACTTTGATGCTATACTGGGTATGGATTGATTGGCTAGATATCATGCTCAGTTGGATTGTCATGAGAGGATTATTGTATTCTCAGTTCCGGGACAGTTACCTTCTTGATATAAGTGTGGGGAGTTTGAGGGCACCATGACTATGGGATTTCTCGCCCACATTGAGGTGGTTGAGCAATGCTTGACTATAGAACAGTTGCCTATAGTTTCAGAGTATACAGATGTGTTTCAGGATATTCTGAGTTTGCCTCCTAGGAAGGCAGTGGATTTTTGCATCGACCTCACTCCTGATATTTCACCTATCTCTAGGACACCCTACTGAATGACGCCAAGTAAATTGAGTGAGTTGAAGAAGTAGACTTAAGAGTTGCAAGATCGGGGGTTTATTAAGAAGGATGGGTCACTCCGCTTATATGCTGACTATCGTGCACTGAATAGAGTCATTATTAAGAACACGTACCCATTGCCACGCATTGATGATTTGTTTGATCAACTTAGAGGGGCGCAGATGTTCTCTAAGATTGACTTGAGGATTAGTTACCATCAGTTGAGGATTAGGGAGGAGGATATTCCTAATACTGCCTTCAAGACTCATTATGGTCTCTATGAGTTCTTAGTTATGCCTTTTAGGTTGACTAACACTCTGGCAGTTTTTATGGATTTGATGAACCGAGTGTTTCGACCTTACTTGGATCAATTTGTTGTGGTATTTGTTGATGACATTCTGATATATTCCAAGAACAAGGAGGAGCATGAGAGACACTTGAGCATTACACTTCTAACTCTGTGTGAGCATCAACTCTATGCTAAGTTTGAGAAGTGTGATTTTTTGCAGGAGTGGGTTCAGTTTTTGGGGTATGTGATCTCTAAGGATGTAGTTTTAGTGGATTCTACTAAGGTGGAGGCTGTGATGAGTTGGAAATGGCCTACTACTATCACTGAGATTCGTAACTTCTTGGGACTGGTAGGATACTACAGGCGCTTCATTGAGGGTTTCTCTAAGATTGCTACACCTTTGACTTATTTAAATCGGAAAGAAGTGAAGTTTGTTTGGGACCATCGTTGTGAGCAAGCATTTGAGGAGCTGAAGACGAGATTGACTTCAGCACCAATCCTTACTATTCCTGTTAGTGGTGAGAGATTTGTTATCTACACAGATGTGTTACATCAAGGTCTTGGATGTGTTTTGATGCAAGATTGTAAGGTGGTAGCGTATGCCTCTAGGCAGCTTAAGCCATATGAGTATAATTACCTTACGTATGACCTGGAGTTAGTAGCAGTAGTTCTTGCATTGAAGGTGTGGAGGCATTACTTGTATGGTGAGAAATTTGAGTTATTCTATGATCACAAGAACCTCAAGTACCTCTACACTAAGAAAGAGTTGAATATAAGGCAACGGAGGTGGATGAAGAAGATGAATGACTTTGATATAACCCTTCAGTATCATCTTGGGAAGGCAGATGTAGTAGGAGATGCCTTGAGTCGGAAACCGAGAGGATTAGTTGCCTTTATGATGATTCAGGAATGGATGATGTTAGAGGCATTGGCAGAGTTCTCTATCACGCCGAGTTCTCAGAGTACAGGGGCTCTTCCTTGTAGTTTAACTGTACAACCAACTTTGATCAGCTGGACCATTCATGCTCAGACTAAGGATGATAGGTTATAGACCAAAGTAGGTGACGCTGTTAATTATGAAAGTAATGTCGACTGGATATATAGAGTTGATAGTGGTATGAGATTTTGAGGTAAGCTATGTGTTCCAGACTTAGCAGACCTCAAGAGAGAGATTTTAGAGGAGGCACACCATTCTAGGTACACAGTGCACCCAGGTGGCACTAAGATGTATCATGATCTTAAGAGGTAGTTTTGGTGGAAAGGCATGAAACGTGATGTGGCAAAGTTTCTTTCTAGATGTCTCACTTGTCAGCGAATGAAGGCTGAGCACCAGAGACCAGTAAGACTATTACAGCCTTTGTCCGTGCCTAAGTGGAAATGGGAGCAAGTGACGATGGATTTTGTTGTTGGGTTACCGAGGTTAATACATAACCATGATACAATATGGGTGGTAGTGGACCGATTGACTAAATCAGCTCATTTTCTACCCATTCGAGTTACCGATACTGTAAAGGAATTGTGTAAGATCTACATCAGAGACATAGTTAAGCTCCATGGAGTGCCAGTGTCTATTGTTTCATATCGTGATCCTCATTTTTCATCTCAATTTTGGAGTAGTTTTCATGCAGCTTTTGGTACTCCTTTGAGTTTGAGTATTGTTTTTCATCCTCAGACCGACGGCCAGTCCGAAAGGGTCATTCTGGTGCTGGAGGATATGTTTTGTGCTTGTGTGCTAGATTTTCGAGGCAGTTGGGAGGATCACATTCCATTGGTTCAGTTTGTTTATAATAATAGTTATCAAGCTAGTATCGGTATGGCACCGTATGAGGCACTTTATGGTAGACCTTGTCGTTTACCTGTATGTTGGGCCAAAGATGGTGATGGTAGTTTTTTAGGGCCAGAGTTGGTACAAAAAACTACAGAGAAGGTTGCCATCATTCGAGATCAACTTCGTATAGTTCAGAGTCGATAGAAGAGTTATGCAGATCGACGCCATTGAGCTTTGGAGTTTAGTGTGAGAGCCTTGGTGTTCCTGAAAGTATAACCAATGAAGGGGGTTACAAGATTTGGTAAGAGGAAAGGGAAGTTAGCTCATCGATTCATCGGACCTTTTGAGATCACAGATAGGATTGAAGAGGTGGCATATAGATTGGCTTTACCACCCAGACTATCAGTTGTTCATAATGTTTTCCATGTCTTTATGTTGAGGAGGTGCTTAAGGGATGAGACTTAAGCTATTGACTGCACAGAGGTCCAGATGCGCCCTAATACAACCTATGTTGAGACGCCTGTTCGCCTTGTTGACCATATGGTGAAACAATTAAAACGGACAGAAATACCTCTAGTGAAGGTGCAATGAAGTCATCAGGACGAAAGAGAGGCTACTTGGGAGTTAGACTCAGAGATGAAGGAAAAGTACCCACAACTTTTCGAATAAGGTACGTAAATTTCGAGGACGAAATTTCTTTCTAGGAGGATAGAATGTAAAATCTTTAAAATAAATAAATAAGATATGTATGTTTTTATGAACGGATTATGATTGTGTTATCCTATTATTTTGAATTTTAAAAGAGTTTTATTTGACTTAAAACTCTAAGGATAATATCTATATTATAGAGTTTGTATTGTATTGTATTGGGTGAGGAAATGAAAAGAAAAACACCATCTTTCTCAAAACCTACCTTAAACTCTTATCACGTTAATTCCTGGGTACCGATTACTAAAGCAAAGTCAACATTTTGCAGTGGCTGGAAGGAGAGGTGATTAAAGGTCACATACATGAAGAAGGAGTAGCATTATTTTTTGAGGCAAGTTAATCTTGCCTTATAATTTTATATATACGACTGACTTGCGTATTAAAGTTTTAATATTAAATTCTGAATTATGTGTTCCATAGTATGCAGATCATCTTGTTAATATTAAGCACTTGTTGAAAATAGTTGTACATTATTCGTTTATATATATTGGTCTTATATTTATATACACACTTATAATTGGTAATTGAGCAATTCAAACGATTTTTGTTAAATAGTAATATTTGTGTATGGATTGTATGCTATCCTAATATAAGTCTTTATTCTGTAATTTGTGTGAATGGCCATTAATGAGTAGATCAATATATATATATATCTTCATACATATATATATTACACTGTTATACTATCTTTAGAAACTTAACTGACACATAAATTTAGTTACATATATATTGATGTATGAATTCTTAATGTAGACTCATTCATTACTTAGTCTATTGAGCTGGCTTAGAGTTTTAGCAGGTGGAATTATGAATTTCTGATGTTGAGTATCAATTAAGTATACATTAAATGTGTAATGGATTTATATATAAATGCAATAAATTTTATATTTACTTACATATTATGTACTGATATTACTTATTAACTCTGTTTGTAATCATAGAAATTGTAGTGTTGGGTCTCTGGGCATTCTGTATATGCGTGTATATCTGTAAAAAATATATAGTTGATTATCAGTATTGAATTTTAAAACATTTAAAGTATATGTTCTAGGTGTAATCATTGGTTTCATGGTTATCTATTAAATAATATATCTATACTTCAAGAAAAGATAAAGTAACATGATCACTGCTGGGCTGGGTTTTGATTACATGTAACTATAGAAATATATTTATTTGTTTTATTTTCTATAGCATTGAAATTACATTATTGTTCGTTGGAAAACGTTAGTAAGGTGATATGGGTTAGTGACCATTAAACCACATGATTAATGTTTTGTATATATATATATATGCAATTTGACTAGTATCAATAGGTTCTATTATAGGACATATGGACTGTGGTTGACGATAATTTAAGTTACTCGACCACGTGATAGTGAAGTGGGAAATTTCATAAAAGTTTAATTGTAATTCTCATAATTGGTTAATTAAAGGTGTATTTGATACATTAATTATTATTAATTGATAATGTCTTTCATAATTCACCATAATTAATAATTAATGGATGAGTTTAGTTAGTCGGAGGGGTAATCAGGGACTGACCCTATGATGACTTTTGGGTATGGTCAGGGAACTGCCTATTTGGGAGTGCACTACGCTTTTAGTCTGGCCATGGGACTAATAAGCCCTTATTGTGTGGTCGTGATCAGGGATTATTTGGAGAGTAGACATACAATCTAGCCACATGTGTGTTTTCGGTAGTCAGGGACTATACAATTCACATCACTTTGTTGGATAGGAGTTCGGGGCTCATATGAGTTATGTGAATTTAATAAAAGTAAATGATGGTTGTTAAGTTTATAATTAATTGGAGATTATACAATATTTTTTAGTATTCCACTTAATTGAGTTGCTTTTATATATGGGAATATAAGGTATGGTTAGCTTGCTGAACGATTATTGTATTTAGCATTTCTTACTGAGCTTGTGAACTCACCTCA